CAAAGTATCTTCTCTGACCATAATGCCATCAAGGTAGAAATTAACAACAGAAAGAGCAAGGAAAAAAAATCAATTACATGGAAACTGAATAACACCCTGCTTACAAACCACTGGATGATAGAAGAAATCAGAGATGGAATCCTAGAATTCTAGAAAAATTCCTAGAATGAAACGAGAATGAAAATACATAATACCAAAACCTTTGGGACACAGAAAGGCAGTCCTCAGAGGACAATTTAAAGCAATAGATGCACACATCAAAAAAGAGGAAAGGGACAAAATAAAAACATTAACTACACAACTCAAACAAATAGAGAACAGCAAAAAAAGCCCACAGCTACCAGAAGAAAGGAAATAGTAAAGATCAGAGCACAAATAAATGAAATAGAGAACAGAAAAACATAGAAAGAATCAACAAAACCAAAAGTTGGTTCTTTGAAAGAATCAACAAAATCAACAAACCACTGGCCAGACTGACAAAAGAAAAACAGGAAAGGATGCAAATAAACCAAATAAGAAATGAAATGGGCAACATTACAACAGACCCAACTGAAATGAAAAGGATCATAACAGAATATTGTGAAAAACTATCCTCCAACAAATTTGAAAACCTAGAGGAAATGGATAAATTTCCAGAAACACACTACCTACCTAAACTACAACAAAGTGATGTTGAAAGTCTGAATGGACCCATAACAAGAGAAGAGATTGAAAAGGTAATTAAAAAAAAAAACAAAAAAAACTCCCAGCCAGATGGCTTCACTGGAGAATTCTGCAAAACATTCAGATAAGAGCTTGTACCAGTACTACTCAAGCTATTTCAAAGCATAGAAAAGGAAGCAATACTTCCAAATTAATTCTATGAAGCCAGCATAACTGTGATACCAAAACCAGGCAAAGAGAGCACAGAAAAAGAAAATTACAGACCAATATCTCTCATGAATATAGATGCAAAAATTCTGAACAAAATTCTAGCCAATAGAATTCAGCATCATATAAAAAAAAAATACACCATGACCAAGTAGGATTCATACCAGATATGCAAGGAAGTTTCAACATTAGAAAATCAATCAATGTAATCCACCATATAAATAAAAGAAAAGAGAAGAATCACATGATCATTTCAACTGACGCATAAAAGGCATTTGACAAAGTCCAACACCCATTTCTGATAAAAACTCTCAATAAAAGAGGTATAGAAGGGAATTTCTCAACATAATAAAGGGCATCTATGCAAAACCAATGGCCAACATCA